CTCCTTCTCAAGTTTTCTGCAGGAAGAACTGTGAACCTGTGGAAGAAGGAGCTGGTTTCATAAAAGTAAAGGAAACATCTGAGTGCAACTATGGCTGTTGATAGCCTTTATGCAATCCTTTAGTACTAATGGAGAGTAGCTTTATCCGAGCCGAACCCAATCCTTTGACAGCCTTTATGCAATCCTTGATTATGAAATTTTCTGCTCGGAAGACAAAATCAAGTGGAGAGTAGCTTTATTGAATTCTTTAGTACTAATAGGAAGCTTAGTGAAGGTCAGAAGCATGCTTAAGATCAATGAGGAAGAAACAGAGAGAAAGAGATTCGAGAGAGATCTTTGTGAGAATATTTTGTAATAATTCTTCTATTTTATTTCCAGAGAGAGAAATAAAGATATCATCTTTGTTTATATCATATTTGTGGTATATTTCTGGCCCGGGTAACCAACAATTTGATAGTCTTGTAAAAAGTCTATCTGCTCTTGCAAGAAGATTGGTTTCCTTCTCAAGGCTCAAACTCAACATGCTTGCAAGGCCACCTTGAATCTTCATCAATTCTTAGTTGTTTGAAACCGTAGCCATGGCAACATATCAATTGACTTTTCGGCCTTTGCGCTTTTGGCAACTTCCTCCACCATTGTTGTCTTGCCCACACCACCTATGCCACATATCCCAATCATATTGATCTCATCATTCTTAGAATTGTAAAGTGCTTGACCCACCACTTCATTTGGCCAGCAAATTCATCTTTGTACTTTTGCTCATTTGCACAATAACTACAACAGCGCTATGGACTTCATATGCCTATAAATTAGCATTTGTTGAAAACAATACTACGTTTGATACATGGTATTAGACTTTAGGAATGAAATGAACATTCCATGAGAATGTCCATTCTAATGCTTGGTTTGCAGGATTTAAAATCCATTCTCATTCCAAAGGAATATCTAATCCCACAAATTATGGGATTAGGCATTATCAAATCCAACATGGTATTTTCCATTCCCAATCCGCTCGGTAATGGCCCAATCCATCTGAAATAAGAAAACCCGATCGCCCAAATCTAATGTTTGGTTTGCTGATCTCTCATCTGCCTCTCTGGTCTCGTCTCTCTCTCATCAAATCTGCGTCTGGACTCCATCTCTGTGGAGGCCCGCTGCTTTCAATCTCGGAGCTTCAGTCTCAACGAAACAAGGATAAGATTTTTTACAAAGAACATCTAAGACGAGCTCAAATCTAACACAATTTCAGGTAATTTTTAGATCTAACCTAGAATTGTAGAATTTTGTAATTTTCTTCGGAAAAATTTTCTTTATGAGTAATTTTTAGCTAACCTATCGTTGTAAGTTTCTTTACAATATGCATGGAAGCACCTTTTTGTAGTCGGATTATCGCTAGCTGTAGAAGATGCTTAAGTTTTGATGTTGATTTGGTGCTTACCAGCATTGTTCTGTTCGAATTCCAATGGTAGACGATGCCCACTAACTGTCCTCTTGAAAGAAGGCATATACATAATAGGGAGATAAAATAAAGAAAAGTTTCAAACTTGGTTCATCGTTTTTGTGGTGATGATGAAAGGGCTTGTGTCATGGAACAAAAAATTGGGTTGCTTGAATATATTGCTATTAGCCTGCGTGATGTTTATTTTACAAAAGAGTGGAGATTAAGGTATCAACCCTTACTGGACATGTATGAAGCTTTTTTCAGGAGATGATTGGAAGATGTGAAGAAGAGCATGATTCTTTTTGGGCATCTATGATTTGAAGTATCTCATTCTTAGGGTTTCTGAAAGAAAATTCCTTATTTGGGAAGGCTCTAACATTGAGGACGGCAAATGTTGGCTTGCCTTTTCCCTGTTGCAACTTTTCAGGAAAAGGGTTAGCATTATAGTTTTTAAGCGACCTGCTGATCAAAGAATTCCTACAGTTTAGGTGTTGGGTATTTTGTCAAATGAAAGACAAGACAAAACGCACAAATATGATGTGATTGAATTACTACCGTAAAACTCACTCTCACACAGAAAAAGAATTGCTAATTTAATTTTTTGATCAAAGCTTGATACTTGCTGTCTTGGCCTTGTATTACTAATTTAATTTATATATATGTGAATCAGTTTAGTTCCAGACTACTCCAAAAGCAACCAACTCAGCATAAAACAGGGGATGGTGCATTAAGATGTCAAAACCTTCCAAAACCCAATGTCCCATGGTTTCAAGTCTTAAAATTGGGGAAAGTGGGATCTAAGGCTGTGGTTGTGGCCACGATCTGAGCAAGCAGGATGGTTTGAACTGAAGTACTATGTACCCAAAAGAATTAATGATGGAGTTATTGTTCAGCCCCCTAAGGACGTTGTTGAAAGGGGTTGTGTGGAATGGAAACAATTTCTTGTGGGCTATTTTATAGAGAAGAAACTCCTTTTCTTCTCAGTCAAATACATAGCTCATAAGATTTGGGACAGTATGGGCTTGCTGGAAGTCCTGGCTAATGACAAGAGTTTCTTCTTCTTTAAATTCCAAGATGAGGAGGTTAGAATGTAGGTAGTTAAGGTAGATCCCTAGCTCTTTATGAGCAGGCCATTAATTCACAGGAAATGGGAAGCCTCCACAATTTTGAAGGATTAAAGCCATGAGTTGGCTTCTTTGTTTCTTGTAATTCTTGGATTTATCAATAAATTTCATCTTTTTTAAAAAAAAAAATTCACTTGCTGACTTCCATGATAATTACCAGGTTTATAGTCTTCACTTTGACATTAACACCTCTTTTCATGCTTGTTTGGTCATTTACTACACTTGAATTTAGTGGTTCATATAATCTTTTCACAACTACATCAGGGATTAGATGCCAATATACCCAATCGAAGCAGGGATAGATGTAGCAGGTCTCGTGGTGGAAAATGATGCACATGATGATCGTATTATCACGGTTGAAACATCTAACGAGTGGTCAATATTTAGATTAAATTTGGCAAATAAAATGTTTGATGAGTGGAGAGCAAGTAGACAAAGAGTGTAATTTTTTGTACCTATATTTGAGAATGATTTTATTTCTTGGAATTCTACCTCCAAAGCTATTAAAATGAAATGAATGGAATTTAAGAATTTCTATTTTATTCAACTTATTTTTGTTTTTTATATACTGTTGATTATTTTTTGGACTTGTTTTTTATCGATTTATTTTTTGATTCAACCTACATGTTCAGATGAGATTCCTAGTTTTCTTTTTGGGTTTGCATATGTGCTTTATTAAATTCACAAAAAACTATAGTTGTTCGTTTGAAATTTATAATTATAAATTTGAAGGATTTATCCTATTTTTGAAGGAATTTATTTTCTAATTTTTTTTAAATTTATAGGTGTTTAATTTTTTCAATGGATTCTCATTTTTTCTAATTATAAATTTTTTTACACAACTTTTTAAGGCAATCACAATCATAAAAAAAAATTGTTATTAATTATTTTTAGTTACTATAAATATTTTGGTTAAACTTGATTTCATTTTAATGAAACATTGTTTTATTCAAACATAAGAATGGAATGAACATTCTATTCCAACACTTATCCTAAACAGTTGTCAAACATTGGAATGATAATGCGCTTTCTATTGCATTTTCAAGTTCATTTCATTTTCAAACTCATTCCATTCCTTTTGAAAAGTATTACTGCGTACCAAATGCAATACTTCGTGCTTGAAGACACAGTGCAATGTGAATAATTTTGAGAGGAATATTAGTGGTCGTTAGATGAGTCTATTTGAGATCGTTAGATGGACTTATTGACCGTATTTTATATTATAAACTAAGGATAATCCGTATCTAAATGTACGGTATAATATAAATAATTTTGATAGAGAAGTTAGTGGTCATTAAATTAGTCTATTTGACACCACTAGATACATTTATTAAAATTCGTCATATTTTATATTATTGATGTAGGGGTGGATGACCACGCGCCCCCACATCCATTACATCATTAAATTCATTGTCCAATCTCCACCGACAGTCTTACGAGGCTTTTAAGTTTTAAGACATTGTGTATATTTGCCTATAAAAGGCATACGAAATGAATCACAAAGTGCGATAGAAAAGTGACAAAAAGAAAATTGTCATTGTAAAGATCTAACACATTGATATATTAAGTTTCTAAATGCTTTATTTTTTTTATATAATTTTGTGTTTTACTCTCTCAATATTTTGTTTATTTCACATCATGTTATCTCTAATCATCGCAATGTGCACATTTTTAATATTTTTTATATAGTATTAGAAGTAATTATTAGGAAGTTATTTTAGTAAATGAATTATTGATAGAATATTTTGTGGATAGTTTTTTAAGTAGTTACTAAGATAGTAGAGTCATAAGTTATGTTAGTCATCTTGTATTTAAAGTTTTTACTATCAATGAATTGGATAAATTGAATATTATGATAAACTTTCTTGTTGAAGTATTGAAGATAAGTTCTTCTTGAATTAAACCAATGGAGGTTTTCAACTCTCCTCGAAGCGGGTTTTCTTGCCCTATTCTTCTTTTATTTTCTAAAATTTTAAAGTGTGCATGTAACAATTTATATGAGAGCTGATGATCCTATTGATGACTATCTCATTGGAAATTTTGAAATTGATGCATGAAAATTTTCAAACAATGTTCAAAGGATTGATTGAGTTAAATCAACACATGCAAGAAGCGTTCAATAGACTTCAGAAAATCTTTCAAGATGAAAATTTGAATGCGGGTCAACATTGTCAATTTGAAGAAGTTTATGATTAAAAGAGATTGGAGATAAATAAAATTAAAGGAGAACGAACCACAAAGGATTACTTGGTTCGACAAATTGCTTACATTCACGGACCTAACGTCCTATGGGCTACATCGATGTATTATTAAAGGTAACTGTTTACATAAGATTCAACCTTATTTATAGGGTGAGAAATAAATTAGATAAAACTAAAATATATCACTTTATCTATCATCATTTTATCCCAATTGGGGATATTAATAGATCTATA